TATCCTTGTGTCTGCTGAATGTAGACTTCTTTTTCAAGAACTCCATTTAAGAAGGCAGATTTGACATCCACTATATAAAGTCCAACTTCTCTCTCCTTTCGCGAAACCCTTATTTGTCCTCCCTCAACTATGTTGTTTCTACATTGTTTGATGCCAAAAGTCCTTTCTTTCTTCTCCATGTGACCTTTCATTTAGTTGAAAAGAGTAAATACACATATTCCAATTGAAACCCTACCATTTTCACCCAAAAACACAATGGTGAAAACCTTTCCGAGCTTAGTTCATATATCTTAGGAGCCACATTCAAAGTTCGGACAAAGAATTCCACAACCATGTTCTTCAAATTTTCTAATAAAATATGAATGAATTGTATATTCTTCATCCCTTAACATCCAACAATGGTGAGAATCATCACCCACCCTAGTTAATAATTGGACAAATCACCCAAAAACATAGTGGTGAAAACCTTAGAGAGTTTAGCTCATATATTTGGGGAGCCACATTCAAAGTTTTGGACAAACAATTTCACAACCATGTTTTTGGACTTTTCTAATAAAATATGAATGAATTGGATGTTCTTCATCCCCTAACGTCCAACGACTATGAGAATCATCATCCACCCTAGTCAACAATTGGACAAATCGCCCAAAACCACGGTGGTGGAAACCTTAGGAAGCTTAGTTCTTATATCTGGGGAGTCACGTTCAAAGTTTTGGACAAAGAATTTCACAATCATGTTCTTGAACTTTTCTAATAAAATATGAACGAATTGAATGTTCTTCATCCCTTAACGTCCAACAAATGGTGAGAATCATCACCCACCCAGTCAACAATTGGATAAATCACTGAAAACCACAGTGGTGAAAACCTTGGAGAGTTCAGTTCATATATCTTGAAGGCAAGTTTAAAGTTTTGGACAAACAATTTAACAACCATATGTTCAGTAGTGGGTTTAGGGAGTGCATGAGTTCACTTGTAATTGATTACAATTATGTTGTAATTGATTAGAAGCAGTTATCTTGTTGATAGATTTGGGTTATCTTATTGTCTTGATGAACTACATAGAACAACTTTGACCTTTGCTACTTGTTGGATGCATAAATTTCTCCACAACTATCCAATTGAGGTAAATATTTTTGTTATATTCTTGATTTAATGATATTCAATTTGAATGTAAGAACATATTTTTTGGAGTTTTGTGGAAGATGTAGTTTAATCTCGAAAATACGAAATGAATTGTAGATGACAACTTTGACCATTGTTGATTGATTGATGCTTAACTTTTGTTACAGATATCTAATTTGGTTTATTCTTTTTGTTTTACATTCTTGATTTAAAGATATTTAATTTAAATGTTAGAACTTATTTTTTGCACTTATGTGGAAGATGCAATTTAATTTCAAAAACACAGATGAACGGTAGATCACAACTTTGAGCTTTGCTACTTTTTTCATGCATAAATTTATCCACAGTTACACAATTGAAACTAGCATAAATACGTGCATTGACATAAAACATTACAATGAAACTTTTTGTATTAGACTTTACAACAATTTTTACAAACAAAATGAATAAACTTATGTTTTTCTATTTAGCTTTACACAAATGACAACTTTTACTACATATATCACAACCTTTTGCTCCCATATTTGACATATGAAGCTCTTATGGCACGACACTTGAAACGTATGTGTCGTCCTTCTTTCATTCGCTTATACATATTGTTTTGATCAATGTCAACCTTAGCTTCAGATTGCATTCTATTGTGGTCATGTTCAACAGGCATATTGTGACCACCAAATGTGATGTTTGTTGAACCAAATTCACTAGGATCATTAGTTCAACCGACACCTTTTTCCACATTTTGACCACCTTCATCTTTACTTATTTCTTCAACCAATTTCTCTAAAGCACAAACGAAAACTCCGAGTTCGTCAATAACCCGTTCTTGTTTTTCTAAAATACGGACAAAGACTTCTTTATGTGTTGTATTATCTATTGTATTAGGTTTCTTAAAAGCCACATCACATTTCTTATCTGCTTCTTTCACAATTGGATAACAAAGCTCTTCTTTCGACACACAAACATCACCTAAAAAATAAATAAATTTTTTATTGTAGGAATTCGTTTTTATACATTATCTATAACACAAAATTCTAAAACAATGAACTAAGCACCACAACCTTTTCGGTAACACTTTTGATGAAATTCTCACCTACTTTTATATTAATTCAATGCAACACCCTTGGACATTTACTTATGCAGGAGTGTGAAGTCATAAAATTATCACAAAACCATAGCTGAAAATATTTAAAAAACCACATAACAACTCACATATCAGTCTACAACATAAATAATTTCCATTTTAGTAAAAGAATATATAGACATCATTTATCTGTAAGATGTAAACACTCAAACAACATGTACGTAGGTCCTACTTTTTCCATTCTTCAATGATATTGAAGCATTGCATAAACTCACCACCAAATACTCATAAACTAAACTAGCCCAGTTGTACTGACCCATACACCCTAAGTGATGGCAATCTTCCTAGCTAGGTTAGGCCAAAGCTAGAAGAGAAAGCCATGGTGAAGGGTGAAGGGTGAGTGTTTGCGGAAGTTGGTAGAAATTGGAGCTAAACTCACGATTTTGTGATGTTTAGTGATAATGGAGGTGGTGTTTGATGGTGCTCTTAGAGAGATTAGGCCAACTCTAGAGGAAGGTGGCTAGAGGAAACCATATGGGATGCTCTAGCCTTTAGTGACCTAAAATGAGTAGTATGACACAAAAATGACAGCATAACTTTACTCAAATTCAAAGGTAATTACATGAAGGAGAGACGCCTCTATTTATTGGCTAAGATGTCTCAAAACTTTAACCTAAAGAAGCTACCTTGGCTAGCTTTGAGAGCAAGGAGAAATCCTCTCCATTAGGTGAAGACAAGTGGTAAAAATTTGCTCCAATGAGAAGGCGACATGTGCCCATTACTTATGGAGAATCCTCTCCATTCCTAGAGTGACACGTGACCACTGGCTGGGAGGAAAACCTCTCCAAAGGGAGGATGACACATGGCATAGACAACCCACCCCTCCTTGTCCACCAAGTTAGATGAAACTTTGACCCCTTGGTCAATAAGCCCAAAATCACATCCAACTTTGGTCAACATTGGGTCTTGGCCCTTTGTTGACTTGAGTGGTCAAAACCCTATTTTACTTTGCCTAAAATACAAGGCCCAAAATAAATCCTACACTACTAGGCTCATAATACAAAGCCAAATAAATCCTAGACTACTTGGCCCAAAATACAAGGTCCAAAATTATTCTTACTCTAAAAGCTTCATGATGGCCCAAGAAATAGAATTTAGGCCCATCTTCCACATATGACTTCAACTCTTCTTGAAAGTGCTTGGTCATGGCTAGGGGGTACGTCATCATTAAGTCCTCAACGAAGTTAAAAAGAATGAGAAATATTATTACAATACGATTAGGCCAGCAAAAACTCACATATCTCTAACAAAATATACAACCTACAAAAATGTGTTTAAAAGAAAATTTTCATGTTCTTGTAACAAAAATTGATATATGACATTAACATCTACTTCTTCAGCACCAAAGTAATTCTTACACTGACTATGTACACCAACCTCATTTAAATCAATTTTTTCTCTAATCACACTCAACCCTAACCCTAAACATACACCCCTCAAGTCAACCCATATACCACATAACTCATTCAACAGATTCGTACCAATCTTAATGTTTTCATGCAACTCTAATAACCAATCAAAGGGTGTGCTCTGAATAAAACACCTTTGTTTCAGAGTCAACCTTTGATTCAAACTACCAACTAACTTCATTTTCCACGAATCGCGTACAAACAACTACATAAAAAAAATATCCTTATAAATCATAAACCCTATTAACAGAATTTTTTAGTTGTATCATACAAAGACACAAACCTTGCTACCATGACCAACTTCACCAGATTTCTTCATTTCAAAACACACAAAAGAAAAAGGCAAAAGGGAAAAGGGATTTCCAAAGACAGAACGACCCAACGAAAGGTTTGGACAAATAGGTTATTGCAAAGCGAAAGAAAGGCACCTGGGCATGCTGACGATTGTGGAGGAAGGAAAAGAGGTTACCGCGATGGTGGAGGAATGAAGAAAGCATGAAGAGAAAACAGAGATAGATTTCAAGAAGAAGGGGCAGGGGAAATCGAGAAATGAAATACCACAACCCGCAATACCCTTCACGTTAGTTTTTTTGGTTTTAAAAAAAAATTCAAAAGAACCAATGACACGCTGACACGTGACATTGTCAAAATGTAGTTAAAATAATGTTATTAAAGTATCATGATCAAATTTAAAATTGATTGTTAATTATTTTGTGATTAAGGTTTTCGTTGTTATATATATATATATATATATATATATATATTAATATATATATACTAATATATATATATAATAATTGTTCTCAAATTCGATAGTTGAGTATGTTATCGATTCGTATTTGCCTTTTATATCAACCAATTTTCTTGATCAGAACATTTTTTGTAATGCGTGAAACTTGTATATTATTTTAGTGTCATATTAGTATAAGTTAGATAAACTCTAATAATATTATCTATCAATGATAAATTATAGTTAACGGTTTTAGAATAAATAATCTTTACTACAAATATTTTTGTTCAAATTAAAATATAAAGACAACATGTTCGATATTTTTTCAATTCATTCTCATAATTATACTTCAAACATGTATTTTACAAGCACAACCACCAAAACCTAAAATCTATTACAAATAAACTATGCATATACAATCGTTAAGCTAACATGCATTAAATAGTGCAAGCATCCATTATCACAAATAGCATGGAAGACTTCAAAACTATATCATATATATATATATATATATATATATTATATAGCATTATTACATACCAAACTTATTAATAAGCATTAGCCAAACCCACTACCATGTGGCTTCTTTCTGATTTTATGCCTTGCCAAGATGATCATCAATATCTTTAGTGACGAAAACAGCAAAGTCCAAGATTGATTCAGGAGATGGACCTCTAACATTCTCTGAGAGTTTTTCATATTCGTAGGTCCATTTCACAATCCCCCCATTCTCCTTATCGATTGTTTGCAGTGTGGCCCTTAAACTCTTGTAACTCTCACCAATTTCTCCATCAAAGACGCTGAATGTTATTGTCTTGTTATCATCGTCTACAACTTCAATTTTCTCCTTAGCACTTGTCTTCTTTCCTTCTACATGTTTTCATAATTTTTTTTTTCAAAAAAATGGGCATCAAGTCATATACATATGTACATAAAAGTCATCACAACAAAATAATGTTTCAAATAAGAAAAATATATATATTTACGTAACTATTCATTAAAATCAATTACTTTAAGTAGTTAATACGCATAATAATACAAACAAAACTTGATTTCTTAAAAGCATGTAAATTTATTATCCTTACGAATTTATCCGTAGTGTTTTATATAATTTTTCTAGAGTATTTTCTGTCAAAATCTTAGACTCAACGTAAAGATTAGACTTTTAAAATCCATACAAATATCTCATCATAAATCTTAAATTGGATTACTTTTTTTAATAAATATAGAAAGTATTGTAAGGTCACTGACCACTTACAACCTTCTAAGTATTTCTCTACTTTTAAATCCAATCATCATTTTGTCTTTTCAAGAAATTCTAAATGGTTTAGAGAAAATATATTTAAATAATTCCTATTCTTAATTATTAAAGGTTAAAAAAAATATTTAAATTATAATTACCTTCCCAACTACGAATTAAAAGATATAAATATATATAAATTATTTGTATTATCAACTATCAAGTGATGTAAGAATATTAAAAATAAGAAATATGACTAATTTTTTGTAATAAATTTAAAATTATTAGAAAACTAAGTATGAATTGAAAAATTTCATGAAATAAACAGCGAAAGTTGAAGATATATAATAAAAACAAAATCTTAAATATTTCTGTTAAGATTATACTGAGGATGAGTTGGGGTTGAAAAGATTTCTATATGTATAACGGAGGGAATTTGTGGTTCTAATCAATAACAAAACTTCATAATTGAAATAATGAATTGATGATGATTGAATCATGAATTTTGAAGCAGAAGAAGTTGACGGTACAACCAAAAATAACTATGGACAACTCCCAGTGTTTAAGCATCATCATTTTCCCCTCACCTTCATGAAGTACAGGAATATCCTTTTGAGAGCGTATTAGGAAGATGCTGAAAGGCTTTCGAAAAAACATGGAAGGCACTTATGGCAGAGGCTTTGATTGTATACTTCGCCTCAATTTCCCACTTAAAGTCTTTCTTCACTCTCAAGAAAAGAAGAGACAACAACAAACAATTGATGATTCAGATTACTTTAGAAGGAAGGAATGCAATTGCTTAAATAGAATGTTCATTTTTTGACTCTAAAATTGAATTAGTGATTCAACTTCACAGCTTTTTGATTGCGGCTTCTCTACCCAACACTAATTTTATTACCTATTATTGTTTACGTGAATACATTGATAAAATAAAAATAGTTTTAAAATTATGGTGGAGATATATTAGCAATATTAAATTGTTCTTACTTTCAATTCCTCTACATCTTGGAACTGATAACGATTAATAAAACTGATATATAAAAAGTCAAAATAGCTGATTGAAACGTCTATCGACAGCTATATCAAAATCTGAAAAATGTTCTTGTACAAAATATTCGCTTACATAATATTGATTAGAAAACGTTTTCGTGTATCGTGAGAATTTTTTTTCATACCTTTAAGCTGCTGATTTTTGATATATAAGATGTAGTATAATATATGTAAATAATAAATAATGCAGGGCTATATAGCTCCTAGGCATGACTCAGCCAACATATATCATATAATCGTTTGGTCAATCACAGGTCCGACGATCAACTATTAACTACATGTATGAACGAATTATCAAGATCGGACAGGCACAAAGTCTCAGATCTGTCAATTATCAAGATAATTAATTATAATGCTGAACAATTTAAAGGTAAACTGTGATTACCACTAACGCTAATCAAAAGCCCACTCTGATATCTAAAAATATAGGTTTGAAGTAAGAAGGTAAGTGATTGCATTTACTACACCATTAATATATGAATTGTCAAACGTTAAACTGACTTTGGCATCAGAATCCCTTTTGCAGATGCCCTTCGAATAGCTTGGATGAATGACTACAAGAGAGTTGGGGCAAAAGACAACTTTGGGACCCCTTTGACATTTAGACGTTTGATGTTTACTTGCTTTACATCCAACACATTTTGCCCACAGAACCGAGTATTCATAAACCAACAAAAACCCCATAGTGCAACCACGACATGACCCGCAATGTAGTGGTGGAGCGAGTTAAGAATCCTTCCAGTAATCTGGCAGCAGAAGGAGATGCCAAAGGAGGTATGAAGAGGAGGTTACTACTATTAGAGCTGAAAGAGCAGCTTAGCACCAAGAAGCATAGGGTTGACCATAAAGCCTCGAAGCATAACATACTAGCAAACCACACACAGTTGCAGCTAGCCATTCAGGTTTAGGGAAGACCGGTAGGGAGAACCATTGTTGTGCTGGTGAAACGGCGAGATGGGCATACCCTTAGCCATGACCCAAGACTTGAAACAGCGTTTAGTCATCTATGCAAAGGCACGCAAACTCTTTCTCTTAGACCATCATGGAACCCTTATTATATTAGGAGATTTAAGCATGTATTTGGCCACGTAGATATGTATTC